CTACATAAATTAAATGAAATATTTTACAGTATTGTTTAATTCCAGTTGTATTACAGAACTAATTATTGACTATCTTTTTCTACATATCAAATGTTAGAGAAATTATACTTTTTCTATGAACTGGCATTATTTTATGAGATTAATGACTTACTGTAGTTTGTTGTTGCTATTATGTCCTCTGGAACATATTTTGTCCTCTGGAAGTATGATAATATTAAGTTTTATGTTTAAGACAGTAGATATTCATAATTTTTTTTAAAGATTTATTTATTTGTTCATACAGAACTGGGGTACAGGTCAGAGGTTCAGGGGCAGCGAGAGGCTTCACCAGAGACAGAGTGGGGAACAGAACAGGCAGATAGACGAAGTACACTGCTGAGGGGAGCAGCGGGCGGGTCAGGAGAGGTCTGCCACGCCATGTGGTCACCTCCAGGGCAGGCGGGAATTGAACTCATGCGAAAGTGGCTTTAGCTTCTCAGTGCTATGCTTAACCCGCTGCGCCACCAGGGAGGGCCGATATTCATAATTTAAGTCTTCTGGTGAAACTGTTAACTCCTATCCTGCTTTATTTGGTATTTTTTCTTAAAACTGGATTTGATGATTTTATTGTTCTGATACTGTCTATGGTGAACATCACAAATCCTTTTGGGAACCACAGAATATAAATAATAAATGATTGAAAGAATAACGAGTTGCTCAAGATTCAATACCTATTAAGTTCAGAACTAACCCAGACTTGGTATTATTTTCTGCTATCTCATTAAAGATCTCATACACACTATGGAAGTGTAGCTCTTAAAATTTTTAAACCTCAATGTATTCTGCTTAGGCACTGACAGTAACAGAGCACAGACGTGCACAAGTGAAAATGGGGAGAGAATGCTTGTGGAAATGTAGGTTATTAAATTGAGAAAAATGCAATCAAGGATCTGGGTACCTTCAGTACCCAGATAAATACTGTGGCAAAAATGTTCTTTTGCAGATTCTATAGCTGTAGGCCAGAGATAGAATTGATGATATAAATATATGATGAGACACTTTCTTACAGGTCTGTATATAGTGCAGTATTTTTTACAGAACAGATTATATTCAGATTTCTTCTCTGCCTACCAAACTTCCAGAAGCTATCAAGTCTTTTAATTTAGCTTTAAAATTTTTAGTAGCTGGGAGACAGAGAGGAACTGAGTTTGCTTTGAATTCTTGGAAAGAAAATTCTACTATATCTACATAGATATAATTGCTTGAGCCATTTAAATATAAGGTTAATATTCAGTGGAGGAATGAGTGATTCCTAAAAAATGATCTGAATCAATAAAATAGACTGTTCTATACCTACAATTATTAAGGAACTATATTAATATCCAAAAGATATTACTGTGGTGATTTATAATTTTTTAAATATAAAATTACTTCTTTATAATTAAGTCTTAAAACATTAATTTCTACTCTGGAAAAAGACTTGCTATTTTGATGTGCACTTATGAATACTTATGAATTTCATATATTTCCTCCAAATTTTTACTGAAAATTTAATAGATGAAGGAATGTTTATTTTCATAAACAGAACATTGTTCTGTTTCAAGCACAGAACATTTATGTTGACAAAACATTGTTTTCACACTGTACGGGGCCTATGAGACAGGAAAACACATCTATAGGAATAACCCATTTTATACCTGTGACTTGGCATGTAGTTTTTTATACATTGTAGCAAAATGTATTTACTGAAGAATGAATGCAAGCAATTGGTTACTACTCTGTTTCCAGTATCTTTTCTAAATTCTGCCATAGAAAATTTGGTCCATAATTATTATTGCCCACATTTAGACAGGTACCTTATGTTTTTGTTGTATCTTTAGTGCCCCCAATATCTGGCACATAATATCTGTATCATCAATGTTTATTGGATTAATTGATTGAAATGAGTGCTGAATATCAATTAGGATTAGTCTAATAGAACAGTGGCATGAATTGTTTAATTCCCTTGGTTTATTTGAAAATATATTGACATTCTGGAAGAGGAGGGCCATCATGGAAGATTTAAGTGTAATACAAAGACTAAAACCAAAGCTAGAAAAACCACAACTTTGAAGTAGTAGGTTGAGGTAGAACTAAAATAGACATCTGCTTCATAAATTTCATTACCTATATTAGTGCACACATGCAGAGGAGTGAAATAAGTGACCTTTCAAAGGTGAAGAGAATAACTAAGAGACAGAAAAGTAGATTATTTAGGTTCAATAAGGCAAGTATGTGTGAAGGATTTGGTGGTGGTCAGAAACCAGAATATTAAAAGATGAATAAACAGTCCATAACAAATGATACGACTTCATTTATTCCAACTTAGTATTGGCAGATGAATTCATTTGTTTAATGTAGCTCCAGCTACTTCTTCTACCTTTTCAAGTAAAGAAAAATTAAAGATCTTCAGTAGAATTAGCCTACTAATACACCAATAATGTTTAAAATAGAAATGGGCTATGGTGTGGAGACCTGTTTCTGATTAATGGTTGTTTAAATACAATTATGTTATTTCTGCTGTTGTCTACACCCACTGACTAAACTGTAACTCCATTGTAGTTTCCTTGAATATGTCTTCCAGTGCTCTGTTTCTGGATATCTTGTTTGAGTTCTCTTCTGTGCTTTTAAAGACTGCTTTGCTTTCTGGATTTCAAACTGCTCATTATTTTGTTTGAATTTACCTGAATTTTCAGTCTTCTGTCCAAGCAACTTACATTCCTTGTCTACAGTTCATGCTTTGCCTTGTAGTTTGTTTGTATTTGACCTGGATTGTCATCATCTCTCAAACCTATCACATATCTCAAACCAATCACTTGGATTCTGATTTGTGGTTTACCTGGGCCTTAAGGTTCTTTTACTAGAACCTCTGGTTTTGCCATCTATGCCATAAAATGTGCATTACATTTGGTTTTTGTATTATTGGAACAACCTTCCTGACTCCCTTTTTAGGGGCAAATAAGTTCCTGTACCTATTTCTTTTCTCTTCTTCTTCTTTTTTTTTTTCTTGGAAATGAAATGCCAAAACTTTCCAAAGAAAATGTCTCTATGACCAGCTGGAGATTTTGAGCCTAAGAAGGTTTAAATCTTTCTTCAGATTATAAAAAAATTGGATTTTAAGAAGTCAGTGTGTGTTAAAGTATTACAGAGTACCTTAAATTTAGATTTTGGGCTATGACATCAAAGGCAAGTTCTTACTAATTAAAACTTTGGCATACCTCAATTTTTTTAAAGATTTATTTACTTATGCATACAGAACTGGGGTACAGGCCAGAGGTGCAGGGGCAGTGAGAGAATTCACCCAAGACTAAGTGGGGAGCAGAACAGGCAGATCATCGAAGTACACTGCTGAGGGGTGCAGTGGGGGGTGGGGCGTGGGGGTCAGGAGAGGTCTACCAACATGTGGATCACCTCTGGGGCAGGTGGGGATCGAACTCATGCAGAAGTGGCTTTAGCTTCTTAGTGCTGTGCTTTAATCCACTGTGCCACCAGGGAGGGCCCTCAATTTTTTTAAAAAAGATTTATTTATTTATGCTTACTGGGGTACAAGCAAGAGATGCAGGGGAGGTAAGAGGATTCACCAGAGACAGAGTGGGGAGCAGAACAGGCAGATCATCAAAGTACACTGCTGAGGGGAGCAGAGTGTTGGTCAGGAGAGGTCTGCGGTGTCATGTGGCTTACCTCCAGAGCCCGGGATCGAACTCACACTGAAGTGACTGCAGCTCACTTGCAGTGCTGCACTTTAACCTGTTGTGCCACCAAGTAGGGCCCAGACCTCAAAATTTTTAAGGTATATAGGGAATTATTCTTTGTGTGATGTCTCGCTCATTGCAACATTATTTGATCAGGCATCTAAATAATCCACAGCTCTAACCATTGTGGTCTCAAGATAGGGCCACAAATCTCCCATGTTCCTACCTTCTAAAGAGAACCACTAATTAGGATAATTCGAGTTTCAATTGCTAGGGTTAGGGAGGAATCCAAAGAATGTGTGAAAGTTAAAACCCAGAAGAAAGTCAGCAAGAAGAGTTGATGACTACTGGGCAGGTGTCCACCAGCATATACCACAGGGTCAGACTAGACAATACAGAATTATAGAAATAGGGCCCCACCTAGCATTTAACATCATTAATTGTAATATAAACATTGGGTAAGTAATCATGGAGATGTAATGGATTTACATTATATATTCAGGAAGCATGATTAAAATCTCAATGACAGACTTTTCAATTGATAAATATAACTAATAGATAGAATATTCCTAAAGATAAACACAAGATACAACAGTTATCTTGAGTTTAGAATGCTTCAAAATCTAGACCTCCAGAGTATAAGTTGTCATATGGCACTTTGGAACAATGTTAATTTGAACTAAAATTGTTCAGTGTTTAATACAGGATAACAGTATTTTTGGTATATTGAGAACAAATGAACACATGATTCAAATTCACCTACTTAAAAATTAAAACTATGCATTATTTTGTATTTTAGTTCTTTCTAGTAAAGGGATACAGGTGCAATCTTTTATCCTTCCTTACATGGTGATAGTGGTTGGTCAGAGATTTCTCTGAAGAATCTAGCATAGTTTCTGTTTCAGTTTACATTCAGATTTTCTCTTCATAAATAATTGAACGGTTTTAAAGAAACATTTCAAGAAGGATTATGCAGCTCTAATCTATGATTACTACATTATAAATAGTTTTAATATTGAAAACAAATTTTTGTTTGCATTTTTTCTGACCTCTTTTAATCCTGGTTATCGTATACAAACTAATATATATATATATTTTTTTCTAAAATACACACACATATGTGTGTGTGTGTGTGTGTGTGTGTGTGTGTATTTTCCTATGTGAAAATCCAGGCTTCCATAGTGCTGCTAGGTGGGTAAGTGTTCGCAGTCATTAAAAGAACCAGCCTCTCTGTATCTCTCATCTCTCTGCTGTTCACAGGTGTCATGTTTTCGTTGTTCTTTTTCCCAGGGATTTGATAAACAAGTGGATGTGTCATATATTGCCAAACATTACAACATGAGCAAAAGCAAAGTTGACAACCAATTCTACAGTGTGGAAGTGGGAGACTCAACCTTCACAGTTCTCAAGCGCTACCAGAATCTAAAGCCTATTGGCTCTGGGGCTCAGGGAATAGTTTGGTAAGTGGATTGGATTTAATTTATATTTTTGAAGGGAGCCTGGCATGTGTGTTGACTATCCACACACATAAACAAACAGTATGGTTTGGGAGGGGAACGTTGCATTCAACTATAGAAAAATAAAATCATGAGCCTTAATTTGGAATTCATCGTGCATTTATTAACAATATGTAAGATTTGCTTTGAACTAAGTCACAAATAGTGTCCATTACACAACAACCATAGAGAAATCAAAAGAACCAGAGATTTTCTGCCTGTTCCTGTTTAGAAAAAAAAAAATTGGATGTTTTCACAGCAAGAAATGAAGGGGTAATATACTAATATAAGCAGCAAATAAAATCTCCTAAACTTTAATCTCCTATCCCAAATGTTCCTGTGACTTTTAAAGTTCAATACTTAAAAAAAGTAGCATTATAAAAAAGTCCAAATGGAAAGATTCTGGGTTTCTTAGTAATTATTCTTTTGTTCCTTTTTTGAGTGGCAAATGGAAATGATCGATTTCAGACCTGATTTACTAATTCTAAAATTGCAAATGTGATGATATATTGGTAGGTCTTTTTGACTTACTAAGTGTATTTAGCATAAACTTATTAGTATAATAGCCTCAATGCAATAGCTTATGCCTATAAATAAAAATTTAGGACATGCACTATAAATATGTATACTTATTTATAAAGGGTATTTACTTAAACTAATATATTTATTTGTTATATAGACTGCTGCTACATTAATAATGTACTTAGAAATGCAACATTTTTAAGGCATGAGATGAGGATAAACATTATTTCAGGCAAATTTTATTTTAAAACTTTTAAACTTCTTGATGTAATGTTATGCATTTTAATATTTTAATAAAAGCAATATGATAGCCACTAATTATTTTTTGACCTTCATTTTACATTTCATAAAATGATTTTAAAATCTGGTTTACTTCATTTTTGTTATTTGATTTTGCTTAAGACATCATATTTATCTCATTTATTTATTCATTAATCTATTTTTATTGAGGTAACACTGATACAAAACATTGTATATGATTCAGAGGTGTGGGACCATATATATATATCCCCCTCCTTTATCAACATCCCCCACCAAAGCCTGACAGAAGAATACCTTATTAATTGTACTTTGCTTCAGTGCATTTTGCAAACATTGTGTTCTTTTCCCAAGACTGAAGGTTTGTGGCCACACTACCTTATGCCATTTATATTAATAGCATGTACTCCTGTCATGTCTCTATGTCATACTTAAATAAGCTATGAAAATTTAAAAAAACATAATGCTATTGCATACTTAATAGACTATAGTAAACAGGTCCTTGAATAACTATTTTTCATCCAATATCATTTCATTATAAAGTTGAGATAAAACAAAATCCTACTGTGTTGAAAGAAAAGACGTTATTCAATGACCTGATTTCATTATACAACATTATTCATTATACAACTTTGCTTAGTTTCATTTTTAAGGAAATTGTATGCAGTGTTAAGCGAGGACTTACTTCACAGTGTAAACAGAAATTATACACCCACTGGATAACCAAAAATTGTGTGTAACTTTGCTTATTAAGATGTTTGCTTTATTACAATAGTGTGGAACCAAATCCACATGATCTCTGAAGTATGCTGGTAATTTTACTACAGTTGATGAACCAATATTTGTACCTTTTAGCTTTAACCACCAAAGCTAACTGTTTACATTAGGGCTCACCCTTAGTGTGTTGTATGTTCTATGAATGTGTACAAGCCTATAAAGCCATGTATCCATCATCTGCATACCACATCATGCAGAGTGTTGCCACTGCCCTAAAATCCTTCTGTGCTCCACTTATTCAAACACCATCTCCCCACCCCCACCCCCACACTACCAAGCCCTGGTACTAGTGATCTTTTTATTGTTTCCTTTGCTTTCTTTTTCAGAAAGTCATATAATTGCAATCAGTCTGTAGCCTTTTCATGTTGATTTCTTTGACTAGAAACATGCAGTTCAGGTATCTCTGTGTCTTTTCATGGATTGATAGCTCATTTCATTTCAGTGCAGATAATATGCCATTCCCTTGCTTAAGTGTACTGACATAGTATTATCCCTTTACCTATGGAATGACATTTTGGTTGCTTCCAAGTTTGGCAATTTTACATAATTTAATTAAAATTAAGGTTTTTAAAAACTATGTATGCAAGGGTTTGTATTATTCACACATTTATATATTGTAATGTGATTGTTCTGTAAGAACAAAGAAGCCTTTCTGGTTTTGAAGTTTGACTTAAGCTTACAGTTGGTTTTATGTTCACACTCAATGCTCAGTCATGCAAATGGTCAAGTGCAGGGTTGTTGCACCCACTAAATCAGTAACTAGCACTTAAACCTCACTTAACAAATATGCTTAAAACAAATGACTGTTTTTGAAATTTACCTATGAACTCAAGATTTTGCAGTTTGAAATATGGATTTTTTTTCTTTTAGATGTTATTATTTTTTAAAGATTTATTTATTTATGCATACAGAGCTGGGGTACAGGCCAGAGGTACAGGGGTGGTGAGAGGCTTCACCAGAGACAAAGTGGGGAGCAGAACAGGCAAATCTACAAAGTACACTGCTAAGGGGAGCAGCGGGCAGGTCAGGAGAGGCCTGCCACTCCATGTGGATCACCTCTGGACAGGCGGGGGATCAAACTCGTACTGAGGTGGCTGCAGTCAGTTTGCAGTGCTGCGTCCTAACTCACTGTGTCACCAGGGAGGGCTCGAAATAGGAATTTTTAAATATTTTTAACAATGGGTCAAACCTTTCCTGATTTAACATACTAAGACATTTTTATTCTTTAAATTTTCTATTTCATATCGTGCAAGTTTAAGATGATCCTCTCTTTGTGGCACAAAGTAATGCCATGATATAATAGGCACAAAAATGGTATCCCAAAGATTCTCAGATCCTAACCCTCAGATTCCTTTACTGTGTTATCTTAAATGGCAAAGGGATAATAGATGTAGTTAAGGTTAGTGGTCTTTTTTTTTTTTTCTATTTTATTGAAGTAACATTGCCTATAATGTCATATAACTCTCACTAAGTGCATCTCACTTAGAATGTGTATATACTACATTACGTTCACCACTAAACATCTAATTTTATTCTTCACCTTATGGGCCTTAAAGTGAGGAGATTACCTTAGAATATTCAGGGGGGGACCAGTCTAATTGCAGGAATCTTTAAAAGTGGAAAAAGAATGAAGAAGAGGGGGTCAGACATAGGTGATGAGTGAGAAGAGATAAGATTAAAAACAGGAGAAAGACTTGCATTATTACTGTTGGCTTTGAAAACAGAGGAAGGGGCTAGGAACCTAGAATTGGGGTGGCTTCCAGAAACTGGGAATGGCTTTTAACTGACAGTCAGCAAGGAACCTGGAGACCTCAACCATCAATCATAATAAACTAAAATCTCCCAATATACTTGAGTGAGCAGGAAACAGATTCTTCTCTAGCACTTTTGGAACAAACTAATCTGCTGCTGACTCTTGATCTTAGTGCAATGAGAATTGTGTAGGTTATCTGACACACACACAATGGTAAGAAAATAAGATTGCTTGTTTAAAAAGTTAAGTTGTGGCCCTCCCTGGTGGCGCAGCGGGTTAAAGCACAGCACTGAAAAGCCAAAGCCACTTCCGCATGAGTTCGATTCCCGCCTGCCCCGGAGGAGATCCACATGGCGTGGCAGACCTCTCCTGGCCCGCCCGCTGCTCCCCTCAGCAGTGTACTTTGTCAATCTGCCTGTTCTGCTCCCCACTCTGTCTCTGGTGAAGCCTCTTGCCGCCCCTGAACCTCTGGCCTGTACCCCAGTTCTGTATGCATAAATAAATACTTAAAAAAAAAAAAGTTAAGTTGTGGCCCTCCCTGGTGGCTCAGCGGGTTAAAGCACAGCACTGAAAAGCCAAAGCCACTTCCGCATGAGTTCGATCCCCACCTGCCCCCGAGGTGACCACATGGCGTGGCAGACCTCTCCTGACCCGCCCGCTGCTCCCCTCAGCAGTGTACTTCGTCAATCTGCCTGTTCTGCTCAAGCCTCTTGCTGCCCCTGAACCTCTGGCCTGTACCCCAGTTCTGTAAGCACAAATAAATAAATCTTTAAAAAAAAAAAAGTTGTGTTGACTTGTGACAGCAGTACTAACTCATATGGCAAAGATTCTACTATTAACTTAATCGCAGTAACTCTCATCAAATCATGCATATTGTCAAAGGGAAGAGTTCAGGATACCTTTTTCTACATTTCTCAAACTTAGAAATTTCAAGTCACATTTGTCCTGTGACCTTGGCAGTATATGACCAGTGGCTAGTGGGATAAATTTGTGTTTAAGGAACCCATGTTAACTTGTTAAAATATTACTAAGGTTTAATTTTTAGATGATGATATATGTGTCTATGTTCTGCACTTTACTGACTGACTTGCGTACCAGTTAGGGAATGAGAGCCTCATTTATATTACTCCATTCATGGAGAACTTTCAAAATGAAATAGAAAAATCAAACAAAACCAAAATTTCTTTTGAAAAAGGTGAGATGGGAGACAGAGAGAACAATGTAATTTTAACTACCTTTCTTTAATGGGAATTTAGGTAACTAAAAGTTTTCTGTAGATGCTCAGTTCTGATACTCACAGATTCTTTGGGGTTGTTTCATTTTACTTCAAAGAAAATTGTCACCAAAAATAAGTGAAAGAAAGCCGATAAAACTTTCATGAATCAAAAACAGATAAAAGCCAGCATTTTGCTCAAGCGTTTAACAAATTATCTTGGAAAGACTTGAAAATCCACTAACAAGTATTTTGCAGCTGTGTGTAAGGTGTTAAGAGCCTCATTTCTCTGTACAGGATGGGAACTATTGTAAGCCCTAGGTATAATAACTGATAAATTTCAATAAATAAAATACACGAATAAAATTTTCAATCTAGTTTTATAACAGATCTATTGGCAAATGTGTCAGTTAAGAGACAACTGAATGCCAGAATGTTTGC